GGGTGGCTATTGTAAATGGTATTGCCTTCCTAATGTCCTTTTCAACGCTGTCATTTTTGGTATAGAAGAATCCAAGTGATTTTTGTATGTTGATCTTATATCCTGCCACTTTGCTGAATCTTCCAATGAGGTCTAGTAGCTTTTTACTTCCAGCACAATATTGAATAGCAGTGGTGATCCTCTTCATTCTTTTGAGTGCCTAAAGTGATGACAGCTCTCGCTGACCCTCATTAAGTACCTACTATTTGCCAGGTGAAAGGAGTCCAGGTGGCGTAGTGAGTTAAGTTAAGCATTGCTCTGTTAATGGCAACATTTTTTTTTTCTTTTCATGTTTTATCATTTTATTAGTAATTATTCCTAATGGGTTATGAAGAAACTTAGTGAGTTCAATGAGTTTTACAAAAACTCATACAGTATATGTTCACCAACAATCAATAAAGCATCAGCAGTACTATTATCTGGGCAAAATGTCAGGCTGATGCCAAAAGCAACATGCAATATAAAAAGTTACAGTATAATTGAAGACAATTTGCTGAATATTAAAAAACACCTCAAAAGGAACTCTTTGCAACCAGTGTAGAGCTATCAATTTCAAACCACACCAAGTTCATCAAATTGTATCAGATTACTCCCCCCCCCCCCCCCCCCTTTTTTCTTCTTCTAGTCGAGTTCTGATCATCCAGCCATTGAAGCCATGTTGTTGTTGTCAGGTGCCATCGAGTTGGAACCAACTGCACAGCAACCCCATGCACAGCAGAACGAAACAATGTCTGATCCTGGATCAACCTCACTACTGCTGCCACACTTGAGTCCATCAATGATGCCACCTTTCTGATCCATCTTGTTGGGGTTCTTCCTCTTTTTCTCTGATCCTCCATCTTACCCAGCATGACATCCTTCTCCAGCGACTGTTCCCTCCTGACAATATGTCCAATGTATGAGAGACGAAGCTTAGCCATCCTGGCCTCCAAGGAGTACTCTGGCTGTACTTCTTCCAAAACAGATCTATTGGTTCTTTTGGCA